AGTGTTTCAAGACATTCTGGCCTCACAAAGATGTAAGTGGAAAAGAGGGAAATATTCTGATAGGCTTTCCAGACCATTGAGATAATTCTTCTTTGAGTCTATGTACCAAAACTCCAAGAAGCAATTGTTTTTTAAAGGTTAGTTAACAGTGTGGCTTCTGAAGTGTACGATAAACTTTTTCTCCCTTTGCACTAAGATCCACTGTTCTGCCTAGAGCACTTTGAATGGATTTTGTCGTATTTTGCGTTAGTCATATCTTACAGCAAAACATTGCAAACTGGGTGGCTTGTGAACAACAACCATTGATGTCTCACAGTTCTGGAGGTGGGGAGGTCCCAGATCAAGTCACCAGCAGATTCAGTGTCTGGTGAGGGCTGCTCCCTGGCTCATAGCATCTTCTTGCTGTGTCAGCATGTGGTAGGTGGGGCAAGGGATCTCTCTGGGGTCTGTTTTATGAGGGCACCAATCCCATTCATGACAGCTTCACCTTCATGAGCTCGTGACCTCCTAAAGGCCCCTCTTCCAAACACCATCACCTTGAGGGTTAGGATTTCAGCATGAGTCTTGGAGGGGCCACAAACATTCAGACCATAGCAGGCCATTTGGAGAATGTTGGCTTACTGAGCCATGCAGCAGCTCCCAAGTGTTGACACACCACTGTTAAGAACCCAACCTCCAAGCCCCTGCCTTTCTTAACATCTCCAGGGGCCTCATCAGAAAGGTCTTGGCATGAGGAGACACTGCTAAGCTCATGGTGATTGATAAAAGTTTCCCAGAATTCTGATTTTTCTTGAAAGCGCAAATGTCATTGTCAACCAGTACTATCAGTTGTGTGCCTAGAAGTGACAGATTTGTTTCATTCATTTTGGAGAACATGGTCTGCCAGAAGCTCAAGCCTGGGTAGCCATGCTTGCCTGTCCATTTTCTGTTCCACAAGAAGTAGCTAGTCCAGCTCACAGCTCAGACAGCCGCCCAGAGCTTTTCCGTAAACAGTCGTGAGACACTGTGTGCACCAAAAGTGCTGCATACTTCTCATTTCATCACAAAGAATATCTAAAATACGGGTGCTCAAGGACCAAAATTTAAGAAAATTCATGTTTGCTGCATTATCCAGAACATTTTATTTATCTGTTTAGAAATGGTCTTGCTCTGCCACTCAGGCTGAAGTGCAATGGTGCAGTCATTGCTCGCTGCAGGCTCGAGTTCCTGGGCTGAAGCCTCCCACCTTGGCCTCCTGGGTAGCTGGGACTACAGGCGTATGCCATGATATCAGGCTAATTTTAAAATTTTTCATAAAGATAGGTTCTTGCCATGTTGCCCAGGTTGGTCTCAAACTCCTAGGCTCAAGTGATTTTCCACCTTAGCCTCCCAAAAGTGCTGGGATTACAGGTGTGAACCACGGTGCTTGGCCCATCAAGGACATAAAGGGAAACGAATTGCATTGGTGTGTTGATTGATTGATTGCAAGTGTCTGGTGTTTAAGAACATGATTATCTTGTAGTTTGGTGCTGGTGAGAGCCCTCCAGCATTTTACCTATTGCTGTTTTTGCACCATCAGTGTAAATGTTAACACCATAATGGCTTAGTGTTGTCGTAAATACAGTTGGAGCTGAGTGTGGGTCATCTGCAGACCTGTTGTAGGCCTCGGGTTTGTGGAGAACACCAGTGGGAGAAACAGGTTCTTTCTTCTTTAACCAAGGCCATCCTCAATGCAAGGGAAAAGTCAAACTCAGTGATGTCTTTAATGTTTGTGAAACATTTTTCTTTCGAGCATTTTGACTAGCCAGCTCAGGGACCTAAGTAAGAGAAAGCTCAGTAGCATATTAGCATACGTAGTGAAGGTTTGAAAAATCGGTGGCTGACTTGAATCAGTCGAAGAAAGATTTGGTTTGTGGAAGAATTGGAATAATATAGACTATTCCATTTTTTAAATGTTATGGTTACATGCTGGCTGATTTCTCCAGAATCCTCTGAGACTTTGACTCTTAATTGTGTCCATTCTTTACTTTAAGAAATAAATGTTTTGGCTGGGCACAGTGGCTCACGCCTGTAATCCCAACACTTTGGGAGGCCAAGGTGGGAGGATTACCTGGAGTCAGAAGTTCAGGATAAGCCAGAACAACAAAGTGAAACCCTATCTCTCCCCCCCAGCAAAAAATAATAATTAAAATTAAAACAAAAACCCCCAAACTAGCCAGGCATGGTGGTGTCTGGTTCCCTGGTTCCACCTCCTCAGGAGGCTGTGGTGGGAGGATTGGTGCAGCCCAGCAGTTTGAAGCTGCAATGAGGTATGATTGTGCCACTGCGTCCAGCCTGGGCAACACAGCAAGACCTTGCCTCGGAAAAATAAAATAAACATTTTTATATTTTCTTAGGCAGATCAGCAGTTGGTAAAGAAAGGAAAAAGCAAAGTTGGGGACATGTTAGAAAAAGCAGCAGAGTTACTGATGAGCTGTTTCCGGGTCTGTGCCAGCGACACGTGAGTAAGGACTTGGGGACCACAAGACACACTTGGTCATGTTCTTCAGGGCAGCATTCACCCCTTTCTGGCCTGTGTTTTACTTCTAGACATAATCCCACAGCCATCATTATTTTTGCTTTGGAAAGTTAATTGTGTTGTAAAGGAAAGAAGAGCTTAGGGAAAAAGGTCTTTTCATTTGCCCACATTTGACCATGCTGGTCCGTTTCCGTCTGGTGCCGTTTCCCTTTCCTGAAGCACGCACTTCAGCGTTTGCATTTGGTGAGGGTCTGTGGGCAGTGAATCCTCTAGGCTTTCATCTTTCTGGAACTTTTATTTTTTTTTTAAGACATTTTCTCTTTTTACCCGTGAAGAAGCAGCACTGATCGTCTTCCTTTTTAAAGACTCCTTTTGCTAGGTGGAGTCTGTGGGCCAACTGGTTTTCTTCCTTTTGGCACTTTAAAAATGTCATTCCGTCTGGTGTACTTTGCTTCTGATGAGTCCCTGTTGTTTTTGCCCGTACAGAACAGGTCTTTTTCCTGTGGCTATTATTTTCTCTTTGTTACTGGCATTCAGCAATTTGGCTCTGATGGACATAGCTTTTCCTTTTCCTTTAATTTCTTTTGTTTAGGATTCATTGGGCTTCCTGGATGTTTTTAAAATTTTAATTTTTTACATTCTTTCTTCAACTACTTTTGGCCCCATTCTGTCTCCTCTCCTTCTGGGATTTCACCTGCATATGTGTTAAATGCATGATATATCCCACAAAGTCCACTGTTATTCTTTATTTTTTAACTTTTTTTTTTTTTTTTTGGAGACAGAGTCTTGCTGTCTTGCCCAGGCTGGAATGCAGTGGTGCCATCTCAGCTCACTGTAACCTCTTCTTCCCAGATTCAAACCATTCTACTGCCTCAGCCTCCCAAGTAGCTGGGATTACAGGCATCCTGCCACCACTTCCAGCTAATTTTTGTATTTTTAGTAGAGGTAGGGTTCACCATATTGGCCAGGCTGGTCTTGAACTCCTGATCTCAAGTGATCCACCTGCCTCAGCCTCCCAAAGTGCTGGGATTACAGGTGTGAGCCCCTGCACCAGGCTTCAGTATTTTTTTCCCTCTCCTTCATTTTGGCTAATTTGTACTGACTTACTTACAAGTTGACTGATCTTATCTGCCTGTATTTATTTTTAATTCTCAACTTTCCATCTGATTTTACTTTAGAGTTTCCATTTTTTTATCCTAAAGCTCCCATCTCTTCACCCATTATATAATCACATTTATTTATGAGATTTAGCACATTTTAAAGCAAAGAAACATTATCAAAGGTGCCCATATATAAATAAACAAAAAAACCATTGTTTCCAGAGAGAGTAGTTGTTTCAGTCCTCTTGTGTTGCAATAAAGGAATACCTGAGGCTTGGGAAGTAAGAGAAGAGATTTGTTTGGCTCACAGTTCTGCAGGTTGCACGAGAAGCATGGTGCTGGTATCTGCTTCTGGTGAAGCCTCAGGCTGCTTCCACTCATGCGGGAAGGTGAAGAGAAGCCTACCCCATGGCAGGAGATAGAAGGGGAGGCACCAGGCTCTTCCACAACCAGCTGTCTGGGAATGCTCACAGGAGCTCAGAGTGAGAACTCATGCATTATGGCAAGGACGGCACCAAGCCCTTCATGAGGGGTCTGCCCCCGTGACTCAAAAACCTCCATTAGACTCCACCTCCAACAGTGGGAATCAGGTTTTAACATGAGGCTTGATGGGGCCAAAAAACCACATCTAAACCATAGCATTAGCCTAGCACCTCTTTTCCCTAACTGTGTCTGCTGCCAGTAAACTCGGTGGCCTCAAAAGATGGGAACTTTTGCTGTTGGGTGTTGTAGATCCAATCCACAAAACCAAACGTAAGTGTTGAGCAGAGCAAGCTGGATGCAAAGGCCAAGGAATGAAGAAGCAGGAGTGTGGCTCATAGGCCAACTTCTCTACTCAAGAGGGCGAGGGCATTGAGACACAGGGTTTCTTTAATGACGACGTTGGCACTCAATGCAAGGGGAGCAGTGTCCGTGGCTTCTCTGGAAATGGGTGGGAGACCTCGGGGAGCAGAAGTACTGCCATCTTTATGTCCTTATGGCTTGTTCCCATCACTGTCATGGTGATTGTCAACTGTTGTGGCATTGGTGGGAGTGTCACTGAGCATGAAAATGAGATCGTCATGAAGTTCGGAGGCCCTGCAAAGGCCAGGTAGACCTCCGCTTTGTGTCCTGCTGGTCTTAGCTGGTTTAGCCGGACGGGGAGCCTCTGACCTCAGGCATTCTGTTGCTGAAGACAAGCAGAGTGTGAGCTGTGCAGCTGTTCGGCCAAGCCTGCAAGATGTGCGGTGCTGTGGGGGTAACATGGCCTCCCTACCCAGCCTCGCTTCAGAACGTTCCTCCCAAGGCTGGACGGTGGAAAAGCCCTTGCTGTGCCATGGCACTTTCCCATGGAGGCTGTCCACTCCACTCCTGGCTGTCTACGCTGGTTTTGAAGGTCTCTGCCTTCTCTAGAGCTCTTGCTGCTGGACTTCACAGTGGATCAGATTCTCCTTTTATGAAATTCCTTCCACTGCGTTTATTGGGTGATTTGATGACCGTGTAGTGCTGTGTGTCTGATGGCGAGTACATGAGGCCGTGGGCCTTCTCCATCACTAGCGCCCCTTGCACCACTGGAGCTCAGTGTTTCTCGGATGAATACTTGAAATTCTGCTCGATTGTCTGCTCCTGCACAGCAGTGATCTGCATGACCTTTGATTGGGCAGTGGTTTCTTCAGATACGACACCAAAAGCATAAGCAACCAAAGGAAAAAATAAATTGAACTCAAAATTAGAAACTTTATCAAAAATGTAAAAGACAACCGTAAACTAGGAAAAAATATTTGCAAATAAAATATGTGATCAGGACCTAATATCCAGAATATATAAAGAACTATTACAACTCAACAGTAAAAAGACAAATAATCCAATTTTAAAATGGTTAAAGAATTTGAAAAACCTTCCAAACAAAATACACAGGTGGCCAGTAAGTGCACGAAAAGATGCTCAACATCACTAGTCACCAATGACTAATGCATCAGTCATTTGCAATGCAAATCAGAACGAGCAAGAGCTGCCACTGCACACCCTGTGGGATGACTAATCAGAAGACTGGCAGCGCCAGCAAGAGTGTGGAGAGGCTGGCGTCTCGTACACATTGCCGGGGAACAAACACGGCACAGCTGCTGTGCAGAAACGGGACGGCAGTTCCCCAGAGTTAAACGCACGGTTACTGTGTGACCCCACAGTTCCACTCTGAGGGGGACACTCAGAAGATAGAGGCAAGTCCCCAGTGACATCTCTTTCCCCTTGGGGTTTGTCCCTGGTGTCAGCCCAGCTAGGATGTTAGCATACATGCAGCATTTTACATGAGTTGGAGTACTTGCGTGGCGTGTTTTTTTGGCTTTTCCATAACGCTTTGAAGTCACAGAACAGTATTATTGTTTGTTTTCCTCTTCAGATGAGGAAAATGAAACTTTGAGAGAATCTTGCTTGCAGTCCTACACCTAGGTAGTGATAAAAGCCATACGAAAGAGCTGGTTAGAGTAGCTCATGGGCAGTTATAAAACAGGCTTTGATATTTTAAAACTGTATTTTTCTATTATTTTAAGTGTTTCTGTATAGACACGCTTTGGTCTTTGAAGAGTAATTTTATTTTCTCTGGCTTGTGAACCACCTGCTTGTTTTTTATACTGGGCACTTTTATATTTTTGTGCCTTGACTTTAGGTGTGAACAGCAGAGTGTACTTGCCTGCTACACACCCCACTGTGTGGCGTAGCCTACGGCTCCCAGGCCATGGGAGCAAGAGCAGCGCGTGCCGCGCTGAGTGCTATAGGCAGCTGCAGCACGTGGGACATCTGTGTGTCCAGATGTATCTAAACACAGGAAAGGTGCAGTGAAAGTACAGCATAAGGATCTGTAGGACCCCATCCCACACGTGTCCTGTAGTTGACTGAAATGTTGTGTAACCTGTGACTGTTTCCAAGTTAATGGCAGACAGTGGTATATTCTCCCCTAGGTGCTTCCGTTTCTGTTTTTTCAGTCTTTCAAGGTAAAATTTGCGTCCAGTGAACAACGTACAATATTATCTGTATGTTTGCTGTTGAGGTATAGGACATTATTGTCACGCCAGAAGCTTCCCTCATCCCTCATTTTGGGCAGGCTCTTTCTGCTGTCTGGATTTGTTCCACCGTGAGTCACTTCTGCCTCTTTGGTGACTTCAGGTAAATGTGTCTTCCTTGGTGGGACTTATCCTCTTTGTGTGATTTACTGGTTTGTTTTGTTGTATTTTTCCATTTTCCTTTTTTTTGAGACAGAGTCACCCAGGCTGGGGTGCATTGGCCCAATCTTGGCTCACTGCAACCTCAGCCTCCTGGGTTCAAGTGATTCTCCTGCCTCAGCCTCCTGAGTAGCTGAGATGACAGGCACACAGCACCAAGCCCTATTATTCATGAGTGATTTATACCAATTAACTTTCACACATTGTTGCTGCCAATTAGGCAGCTTTTAGCTGGTGCTGTGGAGGGAGAGTGTGTTATACGCAAAGTGGATGGGACTTTCCTGGTTTGCTTTTTCTTGCATTTTTGCCCATCAGGTAAGACATCTTTTCTCATAATGTTATTTTGTTTGATGAATATAACTTGAGCGTTGGGACTTTACCTCAAGATGTTAATTTGTTTAGGCATTTTATTTTGTGGTTTATAAATAACACTTTATTTCCTGTGTAACTTTAAGAAAATTATTTCCCTGTAGCCGCGCTGGTATAGAGGACTCAAAGAAGTGGGGCATGCTGTTTCTGGTGAATCAGCTGTTTAAAATCTACTTCAAGGTGCGCTCCTATTTGAATGCTTGATATCTCTATGATTTTCCATTCTCCTTGGCTTCCCACATATCATACACGATTAGCTAGCCTTCCTGGCGTTGCTCAGGAAGTGATCAAAACCGTATTCATGGTCCCGATAGCTAACATTTGTTGAATGACTACTAGGTGCAGGGCACTATTCTGAATGCCTACTAGGTGCAGGGCACTATTCTGAATGCTTTACAAATGTCATCCTGTTGACAGCTCAGCCCTCTGAGGTTAGTGCTCCCAGCTCCAGGAAAACGAAGGCACCTGTGTATGAAGCAGCTGGCCTGGTGTGGTGGAATTAGGCTTTCAGCGCAGGTAGTTTCAATCCAGAGCCTTTTGTCTTCTGTGGTCATAATTAACTTTGGAAAAACAGGCATATAGGTGGATGGCTGGATAAAGAACCCATTGCCACATCAAGTCAGCCAGATGAAGAGCAGCCCATCATGTATCAGCAGCTGGGACTTGTGCCTTCTGTCCAGGGCCCTCCACTCCTGTAGAGCCTCCCACCTTCCTGCCAGCACTGCGCAAGCTCAGGCTCCTGCAGGGCCGTGCCCCCTGGAAGGGCTTCCCAGAGCCTCCCAGGGTGAACGTCATCTATGCTGGCTGCTTTCTGTTTTGGTTTTTATTATTAAACAAATAATTTTAATGATATAATAGGTGTTGTAATTTGCATTTTAAGGAGACATGCTTAGTTTCTTTTACCACCTATTTTTGTTGTTTTTAAATATTTTAAATGGATTGTTATTCATTATAGATCAACAAACTCCATTTATGTAAACCCTTAATTAGAGCAATTGACAGCTCAAACCTGAAAGACGATTACAGCACTGCACAGAGAGTCACATACAAATACTACGTTGGACGCAAGGCCATGTTTGACAGTGACTTTAAGCAAGGTGCGTTGCTAATTTTTTTCCCAGTATTTTAAATAAGGCACTGCATTCTGAACAACTTTGAATAATACAATTTCAGAGAACACATTATGACTGTATTTTATTTTTAAGGTAGAATATTTGTGTAAACATATGTATATTTTCTGACACTAAAGCTGATTAAATGGAAATTCTGTTGAAGGTTGTTTATCCATCCTGGGTCTCTGAAGTGCTTGCTGGAGTCTCACAGGCCTCACGCATGTCCTTTCTGAGTTAACTAAGTGTGACTGTTCTTGGAATAGAATGTAAATCATTGTTTTCTTTATTTGCCTTTTGACTCCGTAATATCTGCTGGCTATGTTGACACAGAAAATGGAGATTAGGACAACATTTAGTTCAATGACTGATTTATGACCTAAAAATCCCACCAGGAGACAACTTAGAAGCCGGGATGTGCCCTTGGACCTGGGGTCAGAGCTCGTGTTTAAACAGCCTCGCATGGTGTCTTGTTACACTTGACGCGATTGTCTCAGTTTACGTTGGTCACTTCCTCAAGAACAGGAAACCAGTCGTGTCTCCTTTTTGCAATTTTTTATTGGCTGTGACCGCATCGATCTTTGTGACCACTCCCCTTGTACTCAAACCAGACTTCAGACTCTTCAGCTGTTTGTGGAGCACACGGTCCCAAGTACATGAAGCAACCTGACTTTAGGCAATGCAAGATAAATAACAGCCCTTTCATATATAAATAACAGCTCTGTAGGCTTATATAGACAAACTCTTCATTTCCTTCCACAGTTTCTAGTAGATGTAGGGTTTTAAAGAACGGCCTTTCTTGACTTTCTCTCTAAAGGTAGAAGCTTTTATGTTCTTTTGGATTTTATTAAGATAACTGATTTTTTTTCCTTAGGATTCATTAAGTGGTATTTTTGAATACCTAACATAGCCAGAAATGGTTATTAATATTGATGCAACATATTCATTTCTGACATCTTTAGAGCCAAAAAGTTTGTTCAAGTCTATATCATCCAATTCTTTCATTTTACTGTAAAAGAAATAGAAAGCCATTGAGAGTGTGATTTTCTGAGATTACTGAGCTATTCTGTGTCCCCAAAAAGCCAGCACTGGCCCATGGATCTTCTGCTTTGTAGCTCTCAGAGATTTTGATTTCCATTTTACTGCTAGGAATTCCTAAAGCTATGATTGGATTTAAGTGGATAACATGTCTGCAAAGATTGTGGTGATTTTCTTTCCTGTGATTTTATATTATTTATGTAAGAATATTTGGAGTATATCAGTTGTTAATATCCTTTCTTTATTAATTTCTCAGATTTATACTCTAGATGTTTTTGACTCCAACCGAAATACATTATTTGATGCAAAATGACTACAGGTCCCTCAGAGACAGCAGAACATCTCACCTTGCATTAACTATTAGAAAATGCACTTTCTGCACATCCAGGAGAATTTGAGATTACCCTGGGTAGTAGCAAAGGTCAAACTGGCAGCTGGTGGGATTCTGCAGACTTACAGTGAATCTGTTCCTTGGTCTCCACCCCACAGGGCTGCTGGTGGGGCAAGGCTCCATGGTGTGGAAGAGACACTCTCGCCCCATAGCATTCACGCTCACTGTGCAGACTGGATGTTTGCTGTGCCGATGTGGCCACACAGTTTAGGAGCAGAGACAGTGGGTCTCCGTGTGAGTTCCCTCGGCCTCAACCCAGACCCAGGGCCTGCTGCTTCTGGTGACCCATTCTGCATAGGGGAGGACCTCTGCAGCTCTGAGCATCTCTATTCTCTTATATTTGGGATTTAATATCACTGTTCAGGCAGAATTACATAAACAGGAACATCTCACTTTCCTGGAAATTGTTGACCCAAACCCAGCCTTAGCAAGGCCTCCTCTTGTCACCATCATTGTCCAGAAACCCCTGACTGTTCCCTCTGCCTTCAGCTTTCTGGCCTCAGGACAAGACTCAGCTCCCCGGAGCCTGCCTGTTCTGAGGGTTCCTCCTTAGCGTGGGCTGAACTCTTCTCGGGCCTGTCATGTGCAGCTTGTAGGATTAATCTTGACAAGTAGAATTGTTTTCATATTTTGAAGTCTATTAAATTCAAATCTATTTTATATGAAATGGAATCCTTTTTTAATATTGCTGTCAGGACAGAATCAATATGTTATAAATTATTAATAGATAATTTTTTAAAGCAAGTAGTGATTTTGATCCCTGAATTGTATGCTAAGCTGGAGGGTGGTGTTTCACTAAGTTATTTTCATTCTATTTAATAATGAGTGATTAAAATGTATTGTGCAGGTCCGTTTTTAACCATGTCTTTGTATTTTTCATGAATGTAGAAATCATCTGAGCAGGGTCAAACTTCTAAAGTGTTATCGTGGCTTGGCAGATGCCCTTAGGCAAATCAGAATCTCTGTGGAATTTAGTTTCTTCAGATTTCCTCTGTTAAGTAGGACTTCTCAGGCAATTCCTGGTGAATTTGGGCTGTGGATTTTACTTAAGAAAAGTCGTTGATCACAGAAATGAAACTGGGCTGGTATTTTTTGAGATAATGAAGGGAGGGGTTCGCCCTTTAAATCAGGATACAGTGGTACAATATGGAGCATGACGGGCCTGACACTGCTGCACAGTCGAGGTGCATTGGTCTCACCTGTGCTGGCTCTGCCTTCTTTGTAGCCGAGGAGTACCTGTCGTTTGCCTTTGAGCATTGCCACCGTTCCAGTCAGAAGAACAAAAGGATGATTCTGATCTATCTGCTTCCAGTAAAAATGCTTTTGGTGAGTGATCGTTACTTCATGTTTATAGATCCTGGTGCCTTCACAAAGTTGACAGCTGATAGGTTTCTTAAAACCTAGCAGACAGTCTGTAGTTGTTCAGTCTGAGCTGTGTGTAAGCACACCTCAAAATAAAGAGGGAGCAGGCACTGTGACCCCAACCAGAGCTCATGCCTTACGCCTCCATCCTTCTAGAAAAACTTTCCCTGTGTCTTGTTTCCCGTGAAAGTATTTGACTCAGGAGTTTCACATTCATGTGACAAAATAAAACATGTACATGTCACTTGTATTTCTCCCTTAAAACCTAAGTTAAAAGCAGTGGATTCACAAAGAAAGAAAAATATCATTTCAGCCTCTCTATGGGTATTTCATTTAGTTACCAAAATGTAGTTTTGATACTTGAAATAACTAGTAAGTTAATTGACTAATGAAAAAAGCATTAGACACAGGTGGCTAAGGCTGCTGTAGCTCAGAATGGATTGTGATGGAAAAGTACTGATGTGGCCCTGTCCTTCTCAATTCTTCTTTTCTTTTTTTTGAGACGGAGTTTCGCTTTTGTTACCCAGGCTGGAGTGCAATGGCGCAATCTCAGCTCACCGCAACCTCCGCCTCCTGGGTTCAGGCAATTCTCCTGCCTCAGCCTCCCAAGTAGCAGGGATTACAGGCACGCACCACCATGCCCAGCTAATTTTTCGTATTTTTAGTAGAGACGGGGTTTCACCATGTTGACCAGGATGGTCTCGATCTCTTGACCTCGTGATCCACCCGCCTCGGCCTCCCAAAGTGCTGGGATTACAGGCGTGAGCCACGGCGCCCGGCCTGTCCTTCTCAATTCTAACCCTACTTAAGAGACAGCCAGTTTCAAATTCTTAGCTGATTCTTCTGGAAGCTACTTCCTCATTCCCATGGCTCATGCTTATACTGGCATTTCTTCAGTTATCACTCTCCCCGTTAATAGAAATTCAAAGAGGTGTAAGAAAGTCAAGATCAAGGTCAGGAGTCTTGGAATGACAAAACTGTGTTGTACCCAGGTGTTCTGATTTCTAGACCAGTGTTGTTTTTCTAGTATGCTATGGTGTGTTTAATCCATGGACACTCTAAGAAACTCACTCAGGTTGCAGTTTTCTTAAAACCTAATTCCTTGATGTGAATTTTTATCAAAGACAATTTTGTCAAAAATGAAAGTGTTTTCATTCTGGAAACTCAACTCTGTCTTAGGGTCACATGCCCACTGTTGAGCTCCTGAAAAAGTATCACCTGATGCAGTTTGCAGAAGTAACCAGAGCCGTGAGGTAGAGTATGCTGTCCTTTCTGTTTGGGGTTTTTAAAAATGCAAACCCGATGAGAGTTGATGTGATCGCTATGTGAGAAACTCGCCCTGCTTCTGACGTGCCTCCCCCGTCACCAGCGAGGGCAACCTGCTGCTGCTGCATGAGGCGCTGGCGAAGCACGAGGCCTTCTTCATTCGCTGTGGGATCTTCCTCATCCTTGAGAAGCTGAAGATCATCACCTACAGGAACCTCTTTAAGAAAGTGTAAGCATTTCCCCTGTGCAGTTGGGCTCCCCGTGGGGCTCTCCGCAGAGCAGTCAGAGGGCAAGGGCTGCTGCAGCCTAAGAGGAGGCCGCTGTGTGGGCAGGGCCATCATCTTCCTTCCCTTGTATGGGCTGAAGTGAAGCCTCTGCCCACTGCCTCCTGGGGGCCTTGCGTGGAGACACGTTGAGTAGCTCAGGCTGTGCCTGGACTTCTCGGGGAGGTAAACAGGTTGTGTGTGAGAAGACTTGAAAACATCAGCCTTGAGAGCGGCAGCCCCACGTTTCATCAGACCACGTAGGACTTGCCACGTACCCACCTCCCTTATTGATAACCTACCAGCCCTCCAGCCACTCCTGCCTGCCACAGAGGCAGATGCAGAGATCATCATTCCTTTCCTCACCTCACGCGTCCTCTGAGGCCTCGTCCCAGCAGGATCTCAGTTGAGTAAACTTCAGGCAGAGGCTGACTTTGTACAGAGCCGTGGATAGCACGTCACAAACAGTAGGGACCCTGTTTGACTGAATCCAGGAGACATAGCCCATTGTTGGGTACTTCCTTATTTGGGGGAGATTAAAATGTGAAAATATAGGTTAGATGAATGAAATACTTGGAAAATATTTAAAAATTTGTACTAGTGGCTTTTTTAATATTGAAAAGTGAAATTTAATAGTTCTTTGAGTGTCTTTTCGAGTTTATCTAATAGGTGGGAACTTTTTTACTGCTTTAGAACAGGGGCTTAGTAAAAGCTGCTTTTTCCCCTGCTGACTCACAGTGCCTTGTCTTGGCTGTGGAGTGCTGTGTCCTGTCAGTAACCACAGTGCTCTTCTCCCCTCTTCCAGCTATTTGTTGCTGAAAACACACCAGCTGTCTCTGGATGCTTTTCTGGTTGCCTTGAAATTCATGCAGGTGGAGGACGTGGACATTGACGAAGTCCAGTGCATTCTGGCTAACTTGATATACATGGTATGTGAGTCCTGGTTTTCACTGAAGCACCTACCCATGGCAGGATTCAGCCCAGAATTTGAAGCTTCAGCGTGGGGGTGTTAAAATTGTTAAAAAGGCCTTTTGCTTTTGTTGAAGGTATTTTTGGTAGAACTAATTTTAGCCCAGGACATACCGTTCACCGGGCCTTAGGATCGTGAGGGGTGGATACTCGTATGTTTGCATTGTTTTTTGAGATGGAGCCTTGCTCTTGTCACCCTCAGCTCACCACTACCTCCGCCTCCCAGGTTCAAGCGATTCTTCTCCCTTAGCCTCCTGAGTAGCTGGGACCACAGGAATGTGCCACCACGCCCAGCTAATTTTGTATTTTTAGGAGAGACAAGGTTTCTCCATGTTGGTCAGGCTGGTCTCAAACTCAAAACCTCAGGTGATGCACCCACCTCGGCCTTTCAGAGTGCTGGGATTACAGGCTTGAGCCACCGTGCCCGACCATTGGTATATTGTTTACCGGTGTATCCCTCCGTATCTGTTGATTCTTTGATGCCCCTCAGATAGCAAAGTCCACAGGTGCTCCAGTCACTGATAGGATGTAGTATTTTCGTGTGAGCTATGCACACCCTCCTGCGTGCTGTGAATTATCTCGAGGTGACGTATACTCAGTGCACTCTAGATAGTTGTTACACTGCATTGTTTGGGGACTCATGGCCTGGAAGAGCATCTGTAAGTGTTTAATACAGATGCATTTGTGTTTTCTTTTTTTTCCAAACATTTTCAATCCGCAGTTGGTTGGATTCGCGAATCTGAAACTCACCGTTGGTTACGGATGGTCAATTGTATTTATTTTTATTCATTGTCCTCCCACTGAACTCAGCTGTGCTGCTCTTGGGGAATAATGCTAATGCCAAATTAATTAAATCAGCCAGCATCTTTGACAGGACTCTGATCCAAAAATGTCAACTAATTCCTCTCTTCCTCTCCTTCAGGGTCACATCAAAGGCTACATATCGCATCAGCATCAGAAGCTAGTGGTCAGCAAGCAAAACCCATTTCCTCCGCTGTCCACGGTGTGTTGACCGTATACGTAGCCCTGAGGATGGGGGGCGGTTGTTTCCGTGTTGGTTGTGCTGATGAGACCCCTCCGTACTGCGGCAGGGCTCTCTGAAGCTGGAACTCTTGGAGGCGCTTTCCCCAGGGATGCTGAGGCGGAGGTTTTCAGCACACCTGAGTCAGTCTCCTTCTTCATTTGTAACTAATTTCAGCGTCATGAAAACCTGGAATTTCCTTTTTTACAAAAACTCAGCTGGTTCTGGAGTCTTTGAAGGAGGCTTTGTGTGAGGGCAGCTCCAACTCACTTCTCCTAACTGTGGTTCCTGAAGACTGTCTTTGTAACTTTTTTGTAGTTCTTTGTATAAGAAGGGTATTCTGAATTTATACACATGGCATGTTCTTCGTTGTATCTGCCAGGATACATCTATTTTTGTATATTAAATTTGAATATTTTATGCCATCAGAATGCTTGGTTAACTTAAGGCATCTTTTTAAAAGGAGAATTTAATTTGATTTAAATTTTCCAGATTTTATAGCTTGCCTGGATGGATGCTCCTCAGTTTATGATGGAGTTACATCCCAATAAACTTATTTTATTATTTCTTTTAAAAAACCATCTTAGGTTGAGAATGCATTTTATGCACCTGCTGCTAAACATCACGGCTCACTCTGGCTTTCCTTAGTGTACTCAGAAGCCTCCGCTTGGAAAACCAAGCACAAAGGCGACTCTATTTTCTAATAAGGTGTGGATGCCTCTTGTAGCTTACTGAGTGCTGCATTGAGAGTGGAAACAGAAGGGCTGCATGGGCGCCGAGGCATGGCTGTCCCTGGGTGCGTCCCTTCAGCACCATGGTGAGGTTGAGAGGTCGCTGAGTCAGGCCACTCACATGGGGCTGTTCGGGCCACCATCACAAAATACCACAGGCTGGGCGGCTTAAGCCACAGGAGTGTATTTCCTCACAGGTCTGGAGGCTGCAGGTCTGAAAGCTGGGGTTGTCAGCACATTTGGCTTCTAAGGAGGGCTCTCTTCTCAGCTGCACAGTTAAGAATATGGTGGTATTCTGCCGGGCACAGTGGCTTATGCCAGTAACCCCAGCACTTTGGGAGGCTAAGGTAGGTAGATCACAAGGTCAGGAGACCAGACCATCCTGGCCAACATGGTGAAACCCCGTCTCTACTAAAAATACAAAAATTAGTGCGGTGGTGGGTGCTTGTAGTCCCAGCTACTTGGGAGGCTGAGGCAGGAGAATCGCTTGAACCCGGGAGGCGGAGGTTGCAGTGAGCCAAGATCACACCACTGCACTCCACTGTGGTGACAGAGTGAGACTCTGTCTCAAAATAAATAAATGAAAAATAATATGGCGGTATTGTTGCTATGTTAGAGATGGTACAGATAGAGATGACTCTCTCCTGCCCCCACCTTCTTTTTTCTGGTGGGGGGCAGGGCATTGCTGTCACCCAGGCCGGAGTACAGTGGTATGAAGTTAATGCTTACTATAACCTTGACCTCTGGGGCTCAAGCAGTCCTCCCACCTCAGCCTCCCGAGCAGCTGGGACCATAGGCGCGTGCCACCACGCCCAGCTAATTTTTAAATTTTTTGTAGAGATGGTCTTGCTAATGTTGCACAGGCTGGTCTGGAACACCTGGGCTAAAGCAATCCCCGCCTCCTCAGCCTCCCAAAGTGCTGGGATTCCAGGCATGTGCCACCTGGCTCTCTTCCTCTTATAGGACTAAAGTTATGTCGCATTAGGACCTCACCCTTATGGCCCATTAGCCTTAATTACCTCCCCTCCCAAAGACCTTCCTCCAGGTACAGTCACATTTGGTTAGGACTTCAATGTAAGACATTTGAGGGGACACTGTTCAGTCTCTAGCACTGCTGTTTTTCAGAGCGTGCACATTTCCCCTATTTATAAAAAATTTACAAAGAAGAACACAAACTACATTAGCTCATCTTTGCGAAGTTGGCACATTTGAAAGCAGCTCGTGCAAGGAGAAGCTGTCCTACAAAGTGCCAATCCCTCTTGCTCACTCTGGAGCCGCGCAGTACGGGACTCACTGGATCCTTTCTCAGGTTCCCCTGGATGCAGGAACGCCCAGGGCTTCAGCGGCGCTCTTCAGCTTGCTGGGACATTTGGTCGTCTGCAGTTTCATTGGGGCTGGGAGGGGAAGTTTGTGGGCTCTTCTGGGACCTGAATGCACCCCGTCAAAGGTGCCTCATTGCCATGTGTCAGCGGTGCTGGGTCGGAGGGCTCTCCCGTGGGGCTCAGCAGGGCTGTGGGTGGGCTCCCCATCCCTCTGCACACTCCGGGAGCTGGATTCTGGGAGCGCAGATCCCAGCAGAGCCAGGGAAGCCAGATCCCTTTTATGCCCTGCTCTCCTGAGTCACACCTGGATTGCAGCTGCGGGCTGCCACACGCACACGAGAGATGAATGCAGGAGGGCGAGCGCCTGTGCCTGTGGACTTCACGCCAGGGATCCTCGTGACCTTCAGAGCTGCTCCCCACCAGCAGCAAGGTCCTCAGCGCGTTACTCGCAGCAAGTGCCTCCTGTGTCCTGTGGCGCAGACACAGAGTGAACTCACGTTGATGGAGGCTTTGGCTGTGCATCTCTGTTTTCTAACTACCCATGTGTCCAGTGGGGCCCTGTTCTCTTGCAGTGTTGGGTATGGAAATCTGATCTTCCCTGCTGTTCAGCATGGGCCTTGAACATCCTTCAGCTTTTGCTGTAAATGATTTTCTTACAGTAATTTGGATATTGGAATTTCTAGCAGCATACCTGAATTTCATTCTGGATTTAGTAGCGGTCAACATTTCTGGGTAACGTGCTGAACAGTCCCTAGTGACACCTGGAGTCGAGGATGGCACTTTAAGGTCGTGCATGGCTATTCCTGACGGTGAAAGAAACAGCCTCAGTGTAGGCGCCTTTAGTCTACCTCTTGGTGTTCAGGCCTGTATCAGCGGGTTCTCACACTGCTGTAAAGAACTGTCCGAGATGGTAATTTGTAAAGGAAAGAGGTTTAATGGACTCAACAGTTGCACATGGCTGGGGAGGCCTCAGGAAGCTGACAATCATGGTGGAAGGGGAAGTGAGCACGGGAAAACTGCCGCTTTTAACACCGTCAGATCTTGTTAGACTCCCTCCCTATCAGGAGAACAGCGTGGGGGAAGCTGCCTCCATGATCCAATTGCTTTTCAACACGTGGGAATTAGAATTCAAGAGGAAACTTGGGTGGGGACACAGCCAAACCATATCAAGGCCTGCGTCCAGCATGGCCACATTCAAGTTCACAGGCGTACACAAGGGCATGCGTCAGTGTGTGCATGGATTCCAATACTGGACTTCATCCCTGCCCAAGTGTAAACGCGTTTGGTCCTTTAAAACGTCACCACAGGCTGGACATGGTGGCTCTCACCTAGAATCCCAGCACTTCAGGAGGCTGAGGCCAGTAGATTGCTTGAGCCCTGGAGTTTGATTCCAGCCTGGGCAACATGGCAAAATTCATCTGTGCAGAAAAAACAGCTGGGCATGGCGGTGTGCACCTATAGTCAGGAGGCTGAGGTGGGAGGGCCGTTCCCTGCACTCCCTCCTCGGGCGGCAGACAGAGACCTTGTCTCAAAAAACAAACAAGAAAAACAAAGTCATCATCGCTAGCTTCCCTTTTCTTGAGTTTTGTTGGGTTTGTTTCTGCTGTGGTTTTGTCTAAAGTGCCGGTAGAGAAGTGCTTGCATTTCAAAGGCCTCCTCATGTCTGGGCTGACCGCCTGGGCCTGCAGCTTTCTCTGATTGTCCCTGATTGTGTCATTATGCAGGGAGGGTCTTCCTGTGCGCTGCCCCTGCCCAGCTGTGTTGGGAATAGTTTCCAAGCAGGGCTTCCACTCTAGTCAGTCCACATTTGTAATGGAAGTACCAGAAGCAAGACTGCAGACATTTCTGCAGCGTTATTTACAGAAAGCCTGCCATATTCATTAGCTGGCTTAAAAATCATTAGTAGGCATTTAAAGCAGTGACCGAATTACCTTATGTTAGTCTGAAAATAATACAACCAAACTTCAGTAAGACTAAAATTCACTAGCGTGAATTCTAAACTGCTGTCCCCATCAATTTGCCTTAAATTACAGTGTTGCTTTTTGCCAAGTTCCTTTCAGAGAAATGGGCCATTTCATCTACAGATTGGAGAAAAGTTTAATTCTGGGGTTAAAGTGTAAACGTAAGAGAGTGCGCTGAAGAACAGTAAGGCTTAAAAACCCGGGTAACCTCTTAACTCAGGAGAGTAGCTGTCCACCTACATTTTCAGTCCCCTTGTTAAAAGTCCTTTCTGCTCTTCAACGACGCTCTGCTGGCCACGGTGCCTGCAGCTGGCCCTTGCCCTTGCCCGAGCTGAGCAGACCTTGCCCACCCACCTCCCGCAAGCGGCCTCTGCAAACTGTTTCTTGAGGATGCTGGTGGAGAAGCAGTCTTGCCCCTTCCTTAACGAAGTCAGAGTTAACATGAACATTCAGGTCATTTCTGTCCATTTCCGTGCAAATTCAGACCCTGCTAGGAGCTCCGGTCTCTGGGCGGGGAGGGGGGGGGGGTGCTGTGCTATAGCTCTGTCCTTGGTACTCACTGTTGCAGCTGCAGCCTTCAGGACAGCAGGTGCTCACTGTGACTCCTGGTCTGTTCTACAGAATACCACAGACTGAGTAATAAACAGCACAAACTCAGTTCTCACAGATCTGGGGGCTGGGAAGTTCAAGATCTGGGTGCCAGCAGAGGCCCGGCAGATTCAGTGTCTGCTGAGGGCTGTCTCCAAGGTAGCACTTGCTCCAGTGTCCTTGTGTGGGAGAAGGGACAGAAGGGTCTGGCAGAGCCCTCATGGCCTAGTTACCTCCCGGGGGCACCCCTCCCCCATACCGTCATCTTGGGGGAAGTTCCAGCTTCAGAGTTTTGAGGGGACACACTCAAGTCACAGCAGTACTGAGCGCCGCCCCAGCCGCCCATCAGCCCATTGGCGAGGTGCTGGGATTCCACCCTGGGTAACTGGAGCAATTGTCCAAGAGCCACCTGGCGGGATGAGCAGAGAGCTGAGACTCCAGTGCTCAGCCCTGACCCGGGGCCTGGGAACCTGTGGGAACCTCCCAGAGATGGGCTGGTACACAAGCCCATGAGATGCCAAACTGCCTCCTCAGCCTCCTGTGCTCCCCGGCCCTTTCCTCTAAGGCTGCCTCTCTAGGGCACCCCAGGATCCTTCTCCTCCTCCACTGCCAACCTGCTTCTAGTGACTTTTCCCACACCGAGCCACCATCTTGGTCACAGTAGCAACCGGTGAACCAGCAGAGTCAGGAGGTCACTTTCGGCTGTAACTGGTGATTGCTGGCGGCTTCTGCACGAGAACACACTCGCCTGTGTGCAAGTGGGTGGCCAGGCCCTGAGCACAGAGAACACTGGACTTGGAAAGAATTTCAGGAAACCAGGCTGTTTTGCAACTGACGGATTATCTTATTTTATTATTTAGTGTATCTCGTGTTTTCTAAGGTCTCTATTGAAATAGAGTTCCAGGGAAAGAAAGATCACAGCACTCAGTAAACGACCCAGCTGCTCTGCTGCTCCGTGAGTGGGTGGTCGGGGATGCGA